AAAAAAGATATTTTCTGTTTATTCACTGATTATTTAATTAGCGAATAATAATTATTTTAATATTTTTTATGTGGATACCTAGAACGTCTTCGGGACCGCGTTCTCCAAGTAGCGCGATCGGTAGCAAATGTGGTAACGTCGTATTAGGCGCCTGCGGATTGGTACACTCGTTCATAGCCCGTAGAGTAGGCCTTAGTTTCGCCTCGAAGCTGAAAGCTTCGTCCGTGTGTTTCTGTCGTAGCAGATGCCACGTATTGGCTAGTCTTTGAATTTGCGGCAGGCACAAGCCGAGCATCACGCCGCAGAAGCCGTAAAGATTGCCGAGCGCGGTTTTAGTGTCGATTGCTACTTTGATCCATTTGCTGATGGTACCCGCTCTTTCTGCAATATTAACATTTATCATTATTTAAAAATCAAGAAAGATTGCTCCGCTTTTGGACTTATCTCATGTAAATTTTAGCTATATTTTTGTCTTTTTTTATTGATTTTCATCAACATCCATTTGAAAATTAATTAAAACTAAATAAAAAAATTGACAAATTTCGAAACTCACCTATAGCCGTAGCGCCAGCCAGCACGGTGACCGCCACCAACAGTTTTATACATTCAGATCTCTCGATTAGATCCATTCTAGCTTGTCTACCATGGGGAAGAGTAGCCAGCTCGATGCCACTTAATCCACTTCTGTTTCCTGGTCCCGGTTGAAGTGCCACTTCGAGATCGAGTCTCGTAAGATGAGAGGCGAGAACTCTTGGTGCCGAATCCAGCAACATTCCCGAGACTCCTCTCAGAGCCGTCGGGTCCAGAGGTCTGTGTTCGCCAGTTGGTAACAGCAATGTCGTAAAACCTTCGATGTCGAGGACCGTGGTGATCTCCAGAGACGGTGCGGCTACCACCAACTGTTCCTCCGCCGATAATTCGTATTCGCTGCCGTTGTTGCCGTTTATGCCGTCGTTACTGGTGTTATAATGACTGCGTATCACCACGCCCTTGATCGGCACCGAAGAGGAGGGATTGCTGGCACCGCCAGAATTATTGGTCTCGAACTCGCTGTCTCCCGATCCGTTTCCGCTGTCGCTGCCGGAGGCCTGATAGCTCTGATGATGATGGTGGTGGTGATGATGATGGTGATGGTGATGGTACTGATGATTCGG